TCCAACAAGAGGGGAAAATGGTGAAGGGGGGGGGTTTGCCAGTTTTTGGATTGCATGAAAATTTCTTCTGTGATTTTTTTTGGGGTTATTTTTGATTTAGGTGGGTAAATGTTTTTGATCCCCCGGACAAAGGCATTTTTAGGTAGGGATAATGAGTGAATAAAAATTTGGAGTAGGGCTGATTGGGTACTTTAGTAAATTTCTTAAGAGGACCCCAACAGTTTTGGATATTTTTTTTTTATGTGGGGAATGGGTGCTGAATTTCAGGTTGGTGTCAAGGGGAAAGGCCCAGGAATTTGCCCTCTTTATGTTTAGCAATAAGTTTGCTTTAATTTTTAAATTTGTGCATCCCTGCTCTAAAACCCAAAAACATAATATAGAAGGTTTTATCAGTGTTAGTAAAAAGTTTATGGCTGTCACCCATGTAGATTTTTTAGTAGTTCCTCATTAACAATGGGTTGAGTGTGGCAAGATTTGGGTGGGAGTGACACAAGTCATGTCGTCAGCAAAAGAGAACGGTTCAGGTGTTGTGATACACTGGGAAGATCACTGATGTATAAGAGGAAGAGCAGAAGACCAAGAACACTTTTTTGTGGCACTCCAGTGGCAAGTGGTCATGTTGAGGAGTTTTGTGTCTTTAAGGGTGACATACTGATACCTATTAGTAAAGTAGGATTTAAAAATATGCAAGTGCATGGCCTCTTATACCATTTAAAGGTCAGTTTGTGGAGTAGGAAGCCGTGGTTTACTGTGTCGAAAGCTTTCCTTAGGTCATAAAAAGTCCTAATGAATATTCCTTATTTTCAGTGCTGTATAAAGCAGGTCTATCACTTTTACAAATGCATCATTAGTGCATCATTTGTTAATTGCCTCATTAGTGCTTAAAAGTTGGATGCATTTCTGGGACCACTTTCTTCTATTCATAAAAACCCAGATTAAAAAATCTAATCTTTAAATATAACTCTACTTTAGCATGGTTTAGGTGTCATTAATCTGCCACCCCCCCCCCTGAACTCTACAAGATCAGCCAATAAGACAATCACCTTATAGTGTTTCTCCAGCCAAGCACAAATTGAGACAAGAAGTAGAGTTTCTATAATTCACAACCTGATAGAAACATATTCAAACTCCATGGGCTCTCCAGTGCTATTGGTCCCTAAACTCAATGGCGCCATATGGCTTGTATGATTATCGCTAAGTTAGACATGGTTACCAAACGGGTCAGCTTCACCTTGCTTCGCATAGACAACTCTCATCTATGCTGTGGCAGGGGACTACTTTTGTGACCCGAAAAAGTTTATTAAGGGTATAGTATCACGGTACCTCTTACCCCACGAGACAAGAGACTCTCAGGTTTATAGTAAAAGGATGGGTTATTCACTTATAAAAGTTATGCCTTTCGGCCTATGTAAGTGAAGCCTCTACTTCCAAAGGTATAATGAACATACTTATGCACCTTTAGAAGGGATTGTGCTTATTTAGATGACCTAGCAGTTTTTAGTGCCAATTCATAGGGGACTCACATTGGAACGGATTAGTAAAAATTTGATGAAAGCTTGCCAAAATATAACTTTACAGTTAACTTAACCTTAAAATGGTTCAAAGTACTGTTATATCAAGTTCTCTCGCGCTGCGCCCCAAATGTATATATGTTTTTCATTTTTTCATTCATTCAAAATTGGTGCGGATAGGCCTGGAGTCGCCTTCCTCGACATGAGAGAAGATTGGGTGGTGCGCACTTGTGCGCCCGTACGAAAAAATTTGGGGGATGCCTGGGTCCGTGGGTAGGTCCAGTTTACTTTTAGCCCCATCTTGGGTCAGCAATCATGGCACGGGGGGGTGGGGTCCTTCATGATTCACTCTCGCCTCGTTCGTATTAACACTCTACTATTCTAGTAAAGTGATACAGATTGTGAGTTAGTGGATTTACACTAATGGGGGCCAGTTTTTATATTCAAGGAATTACTGAAAATGTCGACGAAACCAGAAGGACCTCAGCCCATCACCTCTGGGGTGCCCACCTGTCCTTGGGCCAAGCACCTCTGGGGTAGCCAGTGTGGCCACCAGCGACCCTAGGCCACGTACTTTGGGGTGGCCAGTGTGGCCACACGAGACCAGGCATACCAAGCACCCCTGGAAAGTGGCGCGTGTTACCCACATAGGCAACTTCGCAGAGGAAACATCATTTTTCCCGGTATTTTAGTGATAGTGAAAGTGGATGTAATGACGGTGGTGACTCATTTTTTGCCATTCAAGGATTCGTCTAGCGGATAGTGAAGTTCATTAATTCACAGTGAAGCATACTTTTAGGTGTCGTCGTCTACGTTCAGGCAGTGGGCCATTTTGCAATCCCCAAGGATCGTGGCAGGTCACATCCAAACCCCGGCACTGATAGTGAAAGTGGATTAATAAAGCCGCGCAGTATGAGGAGATGGAGGAGTTCGTGGTGGGTTGAGCCAGTGCCTGGACCACATGGCGCGGTGGGTGGACAAGACAAAAGGACCTTTCTGGCATCCCTCAAACAAGTGCTGCTCCACTCCTGTCATCCTCCTGCTCCCCTTGCCCCATGCCACTGGTCCACCCTGCTACCAGTGAACATGAGTAGAACTGGAACAAAGTATATTCGTGCCACGCCTTGTGATTTTGATGCGTGTGGAACGTGGTTTCAGCCAGAATGTCACCCTAACAAATGAGTTACAGAGTCAACCTCCTACGTATTCTCCAGTTGTACTTTCATGAGCCTATCACATTAACTTGATCGTCCGCAACCAGCAAACAACTATTACGATAGGTCATGGGCAACAAGCATAGGTCCGGGGAGCCCAATCGCCACGGCTGCACAGGTGCGAATGACTCAACAGTGGCAGAAATGTATTTATTCTTTGCCACTGTCATGTTATGCCAATATCACTCATAAGAACAATACTCGATTACTGGGTCCAAAGACCCATCATCAGTTACTCCAGTTTTTCCGTGACCTCCTTCCCAGCAAAGCATTCACTCTGTTGCTACAAATGTTGCACTTCTCAGACAGAAATACGCTAAAAACAGAAATGGACCTTCTATACAATATCCGGGAAGGTTTATGTATTCGAAGCAGAAAATTCGGTGCATAACTTTTATCCCATCAAGAACTGTGTTGTGCTGACGAGTCATTAATTCTGTTCAAGGG